ATATATATCCAAGCACACTTCTAGGCACCTATAAAGCTTGCCAGGCTTTATATCAGCTTGCAAATAGCCATCCTCCAAGTCTTTGGCAGGGCTTCTTCCCCCAGTGGATATTCCTTCAAATATCCCTTTGTAATGCATTTGCTTTCCACCAATTTTGTCTCTGTTGGAGCCAAACTGGAATTCTGTCAAGCTTTGAGCTCTGCTGAATGCAATCTACAGACCTCACCGAATCACGACCGGAAAACTTGTATTCTCTGTACAAGCCAGAGTTGTGTTTGTAGGCTCACTTGTCTTTTATACTTTCAAAAACAACTTTCTAGGCTGCTTTTTGCAATTTATTCTTCTTTTTATCATGTTTGCGTGCAAAATTGCTATAAACTAGTTTTTGCAGAGTTTATTTTAGCAAAGCACTTAAACACATATGCTTAAGAGTTTTACTTAACCTTTACCTGCATTTCCACAGATTTCTCTCCATCTAAGTGCCTCACTAAAGTGCACGCTGTTATTCGGATGTCTGTGTGAATTGTGAGGCTGAAGTCTTTCCCCAAAGCGCAATAATAAAGCTGAAAAAATATTTGCAGTCGTTATGACAAAGACTAGATGAAGCAAAGAAAGCAGCCTCTTTAAAATACAGCAACAACTCTGCTCTGGTAAACGGTGCTTTTTCCATGGACTATGTGCTTTATGGGGTAATGCCAGCAATTGGGAGGTAGCAGTATATTTCCAGAGTATGTGGTGAAATAATTGGAGAAAGATAGTTAAAAATCTTCTAGGATGCAGGTAACCTACTTTGGGCTTCTTATCCATCTCCTTAAAAAACAAGGATTTAACTCAGTAAGTAACAAACACCCCCCAAATCAGAAATTTGTGGAATCAGGAATTATAATACCAAGTCTTGATTAGTTGATTATAATACTAGTCAACGTTGAAGGCAGATGGGATGAGGTATGGTAGATCTGGACTGGCAGAAGAGGCTGCACACCAAAAACCTGCTGATCCCTTCAGCAAGGCAGCAGGGTGTGAGGACAGGGTAGATCCTGCTCCCAAGCCATGGGCAAGAGCAGTAAATGTCACCTTTGATTATGTTCCTGGGAGGGGTGGAAGGGAAGAATCTCTCTGGGGACACAAACTGAGCATGAAGAGAAGTGAAGGGGGAAAAAGAAAGCACTGAGGGAAAAGAGTGAGGAGGCTAAGGAGGCAATTCAGGAACTGAACTGATGTAAAGCAAGGACAAGAGGAGGCAGAGAGGGCACTCTCAGGGTTTCCCCAGGGCAGGCAGATTCTTAGCACTGCCAGGGAGCTGAGGTCTCCCATCCCCTCCATCTCCCATCTCTGGAAATGGGTTGGAGCCCAACCTCCTAACAGGTAGCGTGTTAATCCGAGATGGAAATTCCATTCTCCAGATGTGACTCACATGGAAGTTCAGTATGGAAAAGATTCCTGAGGTCTCCTAATGCACATTGATAATAATGAGCACCACCACTTGGGCAGTGAGCAGCATCTGATCTGAAATGCTGACAAAACTTTGTTTTTTCTTTTGGATGCTGGTTTGCTAATGCAAAATTATAACATGCAATTGTTGAAGCATTTGCATTTTGTTGAGGTGCAGTTTCTTTGTCACAATTACTTTCCAGCACTCTGATTTTCTTTTATTTAAATACTTTGGAGGTTATAAACTCCTAAGCATCAACAGTAAACATTCATGGAGATTCAAAAGAGTGCTAACTACCATAAAAATCCTCTCTCCAGTCCTTTTAGCTAGTTCTGCACATTAACCAAGTTGCTTTCCTGTTGATATCATGGTATAAGTTAAGAAAGCTGCAATACAGATGTCACTGGAAGCAACTGCCAGTGCTGGACCCAGGTTGACCGAAGTCGGCAGCATTGTGAATTCTGGGCTTCTCTCAGCAAAGGGCAAGAAGCAGAGGCTCCACAATGCCAGTGTGTTATAAAACAATATTGTGGGTCCCGTAGGAATTGCAGTGATAAAAACGTAAGCCATTCTGCAGCACTAACAACTTTAATAAAATAACATAAAGCACAGCTGTCAGATCTGCCAGCAGCTCACACTGGGAGACATGAGTGAGAAAATGAACGCTTTTCACGAGCAGAAATATTCAAAGAGCTTCTCTGTTTACAAGTAATCAAGACTGACAGTCATAGATTATTGGTGGAAGAGTATTTTCTGCTTGAGGTGAAAGAAGAGGAGAATTTATCAGGAAGCCTAAGAAGTCAGACATCAGTAACGATCTCCTTGAAGAAGGGGATGTCTTGGAAATAGTGCATTTATCTGCACTGTGAGGCAAGAGGCTGTGCTAGGTCATGAGCAAAGGACTTAGTGCTTGAACAATGTTGAACGACATGATATGTAATTTGCTGGGCAATGCAGTTAGGCAACTGGGTAATGTGTGGTAATGTCTGCCTCAGCGTTTACCCAGAATGTTAAAAAAATATATAGTTTTAACATAGTGGAGAGTGCCTCAAAACAACATTCACATTCTTTTCTACCTGCTCGTTGTGTAATTGATTAGCTACACTAATTTATTTGCTTAACTTTTTATTAACTCTTGCATTTCTGAGATACTTTGTTTTGGTTTTTTTTTTTTTTTTTTTTTTTTTTTTTTTTTGAGGAATACAGTATTTTTTTTTTTCTTTAATTTCAGTGCATTTTTGAGGGTTCATGGAATTTGCAGCAGAACATCTTCTCTACTGGCACGGTGCTTTTGCATTACCTTTCCCTTACAGAGGCAGGCAAAGTATCAGCAGTTTTGAAATGTTAACTAGCACGGCGCGCTATGGGAAGGTATTTATAGGCTGCACATGACTGCAGATATCCACCGTGCTGTGTCCATCAGGAGCACTGGCCTGGAGCTCCTGCTGCCCCACGCATGTTCCTGGAAGACCCACAGCAAATCTGTGCTGCTTCCTCAGCAAGGGTGGCTTGCAGACTGAGCTGGAGCTCGAGGGGTTTGCCCCAAAGGGTTTATCTGTGGTTTATGGTGCCCAGTGTGTCCCCACAACACTGGTATGTGCATTAAATGCTGTTCTAGGGGTGGTGCTCTGCTGCACGGTGCTGCGGGCTGTGCAAGGCTGCTGGGCTATGCAAGGAGCCCGATTTTCCAGGCAAGTTTGAGAATTCATTGTGCACCCTCTGCATCTGGTTTAACCCTAAGTCGAAGATTGATTATTTTTAAAGGTTAGCAGTTATGTAGCAAAAGAAACCCTCTCTCCTCTGCCAGCTCTGAGAAGTCACCATGGGCTGTGACTTCTTGCCGTGTTTTAATTTAGACCACAGCCAAAGACATTTTGCAGTATGCCTCCCTATTACTGTTCACTTCACTTTCTTTGAGTAAGCAAAAGGAAAGCTAAAAGGCAAATCCCTCTTTTAGAGGTCTCAGCAGCGGCTGCTGGCACTCGGGCTCTCCGAGGACCAAAGCTCATTGCTGAAAGCTTCTTGCAGGTTAACCAAGGAGGCCCCGAGGAGCAGAGCTCCCTCCTTTGCCTTCAGCTGCTGCTGTCGTCTCTCCTGCTGGCAGCAGGTTGAACGGACGTTTTTTGCGAAAAGCAGCTCACACCTCTGAGAGACAACTGATTTACCCTGGGCTTGTCTGCGATGCGTGCATGTTGGGGCTCTGAGGAAGGTACAGGGCAACTGAGCCCACTTACCTCTGTGCAGTATGGACGTGTGCAGCGGGTAGGAACAGGCTTCCGGACAGGCTGCAGCTCCACAGATGGGTGGCCATCGGATTTGAGTCCCTCCTCCTTGCCTTTCCGCTCTGGGAGCCGTGACGGGCAGATCACAGTGTCGCGACACAACTTGGGGCTGCAGAAACAGGTTCCCCTTGAGCCAACGTCAGCTTCCCCAGCAGAAATCACCCCAGCTCAAATAAGATAAAATTTGCATTTGTATCTAGACCCTTCACAAACAGGTTTCCTTTTGAGTCAAGCGCTGGAGACACAAAGGATGGATTTGGGCAGTGCATGCTATGTACCTGCTCCTATTTTTTTTAATCTTTATCCATAATTCTATAACATTGTTACAAGATGGATTTATAACACACCTAGAGCTAATGTAGCAATGAAGATTAGTCTTCTACTAGTGAAACAGTAATACATTTTATTTGCCTATAGCTATTGTATTGTATCAGCCTTGGCATGAAAGGAAATAGCTTTCTAATGCAGCTTGGTGTGCTGAGCAGAAACAAATCTATGTTGCAGAATGGAAATCTGCCTAGGACTATAGCTGGCAGCAAAATTCAGAGTAGGAAAAAGGCAGCACAAATAAAAGTATTTGTGAGGTGGATATATGCTAATAAACCTAGTTTATTGCTAAAGTGTACTGCTCTACAATAATGCAGCTTGCTTGACAGATACAGTGCTGTTTCATCTCTGCTTTTAACTGTGTCATCTTCTGGATTAAAATTTAGCCAGAAGTAAAAGGTGAAAATTCATTAATTTCCAGCTTGCTTTATGGCGCTGACAAAAAGTTGATATTATAATGTTCTTCAGAAGCACTGATGCTGTTAATGCAATCTGCTGTGCTCTGTAGCTAGAGACACACTGGAAATCCTCAACGCTTTTGAGATAAAACAAGCAATTAATGCAAATGTTTCTGCTCTCTGTTCTTACTGTAGTCTGTACTTGATTAGTGGCAGACATTTTGGGTGCACGTGCAAACAAACAGTCACTAAGTGCCAGCCCAATATTTTTACTATAAAATAGGATTCTTCTTTAGAGGCAGAGGCTCTGTTGTAAATTGTCACCTTTGGGATAGCATTACTTCATACTTACCATATATGAGACAGAACTTTATTTCTGTGAGCATTTTTTGCAAGCTAGATGCAAAAATTAGCTACTTCACCTACTTCTGATTTTTTCCTTACTAAATCACCAGATGAAACATAGTGAAAGATGAAAGAAGAAAAGAGTATGTGTCTAGGGAAGGGATGCATTTTGCTTTCAACAAGGGCAAGGAAGGACTAATAACTTACGTGCTGAGAGGGAAGGTATCTTAGCTGGTGTGAACACTGCTGGCACGAACTGCTGATGGAAAGTGGCTGCAGTTGGGCCTTGTTATCACAACAAGCCTTCAATGGTGAAGCCAGCCCTTCTGATGGGCAGAGGAAAAAATAGAGAGAAAATCTTACATGAATTGCTGACAAGGTGCCATAAGCAACTTCTCCCTAAGATCAGTCCACTGATGCAACGGGCGCTTCAAAATAACAGCGTGTGTTTGTTATCCTGTTACCTGCCAGCTTTACCCCAAAGACTTACTAGATGTCTGACCATCAGCACACAATTGTGCCCTCTGTCAGTGCCTGTCCTTCGTCCTGGCACCTTGCTTTATAAATCCATCAGAGCCAGTTAACTAATCCTACTGCCATCTCCAGCCTAAACAGTTCACCAGTACTTCTCTCCGTCATCAGGTCCCTCCATCCCACAGACACATAAATAGTTTGATTAGTTGCATACCGGCACACTGTGAATTTGGCAATAGCGAAGATATTGGAATGAAGAGTAAATTCTTGTTTCTTTTCCCTTTCAAAAGTTGCAACGACATGACAAAGGAGAAGAGGATTCCCCTGACAAGTGGAGGACAGAAGAAGAAATGGCAGCTGAAGCAGCAATTTTGAAGAAGTATTTTCAGTAGAATTAGAGGTAACAATTTATATATTATCATGTTCGTGAAGCAGCCAAAACTGTTCGGTCTTATATAGATTTCTGAAGGACTGGAGTAGAATATGTAGAAGAGAGCAACAGAAATGAAAGCTCTTAGGTTTGCATTGTTTCCAAAAGGACCTGGTGCTCCAACAGTAGCATCAAATAAGATGCTTTTCCTTGACCAAATCAGCTCTGTATTTCTTAGAGCAGAAAATAGCCTCAGTATCTCTGTGATGAGTTAAAAACTGCTGTATGTTCGTGTGCCCAATATACATGCGCATATATGAAATCCCAGCAGAACTCAGACTACAGAGCAGATAAGTAAATGCTTCTTCCTGCAAGTCTTAACTCATCTGATCAGTTCAACTTTCAAACTTAAACCTTCTGGAACCTGCTATGCTAAATTTTGCACTGGCCCTAAAAGAAAAAAAAAAAGGTTTGCAGGCAGGAATAGAGAAGAGTAAATACCTGGCAAACAATAACATTGGTACTCTAGAAATTGCAAGGTTTTCATCTTGTACCTAGAGTCCCAGAAGCCAGATTCTTCCAATAGAAATGAACTGTTCCCCAGAGATCAATATGAGTTATGCTGGGATGTGTGCTGCAGTAATGACTCCAAAAGCTCCCTCTCCCTGCTCCCCATATGTCATTTGCTATCATCCAGCACTCTCATTTCTCTGTCATTTCTGACTCTTTCATATTTTTTCCCATGAAGAAGCAAAGCACTATAAATATACCTCCTCTCTGCCTGTGACTCACCTCTTGCAGCCCGGCTTGAAAAATCTTGAGCCCAAGCACACACGTGGCACCCGTGTGGCAGCTCTCGGCCTCCCCTGCCACTCTCTTGCCTCCGTTTCGGCTGTTCCATGGGACACTTTCCTTTCTGTTTCTTCTCGCATGATGACCATCCTCCTGTCTGCCATCAAAGCAGTAACTTCTCCAGGCAAATCAGCTGTGGATGCGCAGAGAAAGTTGTGTAGCAAATGGCGTTCCCACATGTGGGAAAACAAGTTTTATTTATCTCAAGAGAAGAAAATTATGTTTTGTGCCTGGGGCTAATACAAAGTCCATATCACCCTTCAGCTTGGCTTAACGTGCTTTTGGTGGAACATGACTCCACTGGGACCGTGTAGAATCTTGCACTGTGTAAGAGGAGGAGGTGTTTGGTCACTGCAAGCCCGTTTGGTTTCCTCTTGCATCTGTGCAAAATACTGGAGCTTGTGCAACCTGAGGCTCCTCATGACAACCTTCCTTTTCATACCATGAGAGCTGGTGACTCAAAAGCCGTTCATTGTAACATGTGGCAGTCTTTGACTGCAAGATCCAGCTTGAAAGCCTTCTGTTTTCTGCCTGAGATGATGCCTTCTGCCTTCAGAGCATTTCCACCTTAATCTGGTTATAACCTGGGTGAAATAAGCACAAAAAGGAAAGAAAAACATTCTGTAAAATGGCTATTTAAAATACAATCTTTTTGGTTAAATGTAAATACAATCTTTCCACTTAAACATCACTGTCTTGCTCAATAGCACCAAGATTTGATTTAATTTACTTCCTCATTCAGTGTGGACTCACAGATGTCAGCTGTGTTTGCTAACTGACCACTCTTTGAGGTGCAACTATGGGGAAACCATCTTATTTAGAGTATAACATCTGATGCAGCATTTTAATTTTCAAGCCGCTTTCTGATGTACCTTTAGAATTTTGAAACTTTCCATAGCTGGACAAAGTGTTTTGATGGTCTGTGTTTTGTGGAATTGCACATGCCAGCAGAAAGGCCAAAGATTAAAAGAGTTACTAACTCGCAGATAGGTTCCAAAAATGTTTCCCTTCAAAGGCAAGTTGAGTATGTGTTGTTTTACCTGAAGAAAAAAAAGAGGCTGTGCAAGTTTCAGTAGGAGTTTGACTATTTTATGCACAACTGAAGTAGTAATGCTGTTAGAAAAGCTGTCAGCCTCAACTATGACGTCAAAATGTCCCCTTACATAAGGCGGTTGACAGTGATATTCTGCAGGTTAGGGCTTCTTGAGTTATATAGATCCAATAGCTTTTAATTGCTTCAGCATCTGAATGTTTTGTCATTCAACATGCAAGATTCATTTAAAAATTTCTCCAAATAATGCAGGCTGCACAGTGGGGCAGGATTTCTGATGTCAGTTCTCCCCTTCATCCCCAGTCTGACAATGCTTCTGGAGAACTTAATCTTTCAGCATTGACAGAGAATATAAGTTTTATTCATTTTCTTCACCCCACTGAGAGACAGTCTTGTTCTTGGAGAGCACTCATCCTGCCTCACAACCTTCCTTTCTGCACCGAGATCTCAGCACATGTGAAAAGGTGCCACTCTACTGACCTCAGCAGAGAAATTCCCATCATTAGGAGCAACTGGTGGGGCATGTAGCCTGGCAATGCGGCTTGCACCTGCTTTGGCTGCAGCACCCCTGACCATGCACCCTGCTGCCTACATCAAAGTGAGCACCTGAGCTCCTTGCTACTCCTGGGCAAGCAGAATCATTATACAGCCATATAAAATATAGAAAGCACCAGCTTAATGTAGGCCTGCGGTGCTCCTACAAGTGCTGCAGGACTCTGCTCCAGGGAGATGGGAGCAGTAAAGAGGTCTGCGTCCAATGGGAGGTCACCCATGGGAGCCCCCCTCTCCATGCAAGGTCATTTTTTTGAGCACTTACATGGAGTCAGACTAAAGGTGGTTTGTGGTCCTGGGGATTGTGGTGAGAGCTGTTCAAAGCTGCCTTTAGGAGCTGTTTGTGTATAATCCCTAAGTAAATACATGTGTGAGTAACCAGCTATAGATTTCTCTGCACTTCAGACTTAAGTGCTATTAATTATATCCCCCACTCAGCAGCCTCCAAGAACCATTAATTAGAAAGCAGGAGCTGATGGTTTACTTGTCTGTGTAGAACTATTTTGACCTGAAAGTGAAATGTAAGCTTCAAAAGAAACATGTTTTGTGAAGGTCACCTTGAAAAACATCATAACAATCTGTCAGTGGAAGAGAATGCAGCACTGCAAGTGTGTATTTCAGAGTGACACTACACTTTAAATAGTTGGAAATAGCAAAGAGAAGATGGATCGGATCATAGGGTCTATGTTTTTTCCCCTAAAATTAGGGTTCTTTTTCTGCAATAGGAAACAAGTACATAGAAAATAATATTTTTGTAATCTGATTGCAACAAAAGGAGAGTTAATATCAACAGAAATGCAACAGACGGACACAATCTGGCACTTGCTGGTATTTTGGGGATTTAAAACACCCCAAGGCACCACCTCTGTAGCAGGGAGAAGGTTGGTGCACAGGAGTTAAATTGCCTCTACAAGGGGACTTGTAAATAGCCAGCAGAAGTGCAGTGACTGTGCACAGCAGCTCATTCCCACCCTGGAGAGCTCAGGGCAAAAGGCTCCCCTGAATAAGTGTGATGTGTTAATGCACTGCAGCTTCAGCATCAACACTGGTTATTTTAGTTAAAGCACGTAATTATTCTTAAGAAAACAAAAGTTGCAGTGGAGTGAGTTATCACTGTAAGTGAAATGCATTCCTCTTGCAGGGGCCAGCGTTTGGTAGCCCTTGCAACTATTACAGGGCTTTATTTCGAGGCTGCAAGTAGTACACTGCTAAAAGGGACGTGTCTCATTCTCCAGACTGCCACTTCTCTACAGGTGGCCATTTAATGCAGCTCTGTGGAGTCCCATGCATTCCACACAGCACCGCTTGGATCCTGTAATTATTGCTGCAGTAGAAATGTCATGGCCAGAGACACAGGCTTTGTACAGCATAGAGGCAAAGCAGCGGATGTGTCACTGGTAGCAAGGAGCGCTGACAGAGGGCCGGCTCCAGAAGCCTGAATACTTACCTGAGCTGTCTGTCAGGTACCAAGTATTTTCAAGTCTGATCATCCCTGATCCATCACTAGCTTTATGCGTGTTGCATTGGATGAGAGGGAATTGGGGAAGGCTGAGCACAAGCCATGGGCAGAACAGGAGTTGAGGTAGAGGACAGAGCTGAGCCTCAAATTAAGGTAATATCAAGCGTGGTCAAGGACTTTTATGCTCAAACCTGGGCTAAAATTGTGCTAGGCTCTTGCTTCACAAAGCTGCAAAAGACACACTGGCGAAGCAGCCAGACCCTCCTTGAAGCAGACTCACAAAACATGTGCCAAGTAATTTGGAGGCTGCCATCAAACTGTCACTCAGGAGGGGCACACAAAGGAAACTCTTGCTCAAAATGCCATCAGAAGGGGAAACATATGTTTCAGGGAGAAGCGACAATCAAACAAAGAAGTGGGCGGTTGGGGAGTTGCAGCAACAGCAGCAGCAGCAGCCTCCGGGATCCGAGCGTCGCGCGCGGCCCCGAGGAACATGTTGAGGGGCTGTGCCCTCATCTAGCAGTTGGGTAACAGCTTTGTGTTTAATAAGCTGAAATAATTCACTGAGTATGGAAGCCAGCTCTAAACAGGCTCTGAAGTGAAGGTGCAAAACTGATCGTACCAAGCAGAAAGCCCACTTCACAGGCAGTTATTAGCAAAGGGTTGTATCATGTTACCCTGTTGCTCTACTTGCTGCATAATGGAGCTGCCCAGAGAGACACTCAAACCAGCAGCTGAAATGTGACCTCAAAGCTTAAGAGCTGCCTTTGTGAAAGTTCTGGTATCTAGGCTGTGCAGGTGGAAAGCTGTTAATAGCTCTCCCAGCTAGCAGCATTTGAGAAAGGAGGGATGTGATGGGGCTCGTTGGGTTGAGAATATTTAAGGCTTTGTCACTTGCCAGGATGGCAGTCCCTACACTAAACGCCGGGTATTTGCATGGAGAAACCCAAATGCTCCATTTGTGTTAGCATCTGTGGTCTCCTGCAAGTCTCCAGTGAAGACATTTAACCACTGCAGTGAGGAGTGTGACATGAGTTTGACCAGGGAAGTAACACTCACCTTTCATGGCTGCAGTCAGCTCAGGTGTCAGGCTCTCAACATTGACGTTCCTCTACTTTGGGAGCACCCTCCAGGTCTTCTGTGGCACATGTTGATGGCCTTTTGCCAGGATGGACCACCAAAAGGTAGTGAAAATTAGATCAGACATGGGAAGAAATTCTCTGTTCACTTGTGTCTCAGTGTCTGGAACACAAGGACATTCTCTGGATGATGGTCCCAAATCACTAGGGCAGAACGCCTTTGCCATTATACAGTCTGTCACCGCAGGGTCAGGGTCTGTGAGGATATCAAATAGATGATAGATTTTGAAAGAGCGTTTGCAGGAATTTATATAAGAGATCATGTGCCCCAAAGACTCTTGCATGAGATTATTATAGCAAAATTGATTTGAAGAGTAAGAAGCTGGATTTGATGACACAAGATGCCCTTTCTAATCCTTTGTTCCTATGTGTAGCGGTCAGCAGAGCTGGGGACTGCGCTGTCTTGCTCAGCAACATCAGAAATGCAGCTTCATTTCCCTTTGCCTCATGTTTGTGTTTGTAAAATGAGCCTGACCTCCTTTTGAGGGTGCTTTGCAAGTTAGGAATGAAAAGCACAATGTGAAAGAAAGCCATTAGTATGATTTGGAAGCGAACTTCATTGAAAAAGTATATAATAAGGCAAACAAATGTTCATCTTTCTTGCTTTGACATATAATTTTAAAACTAGTTGTGTGCACTGATTTTTCTCCTTTCCCTAAAGCACACAGTATAATAGGGGCTGAAATCTACTGTGCCTGGATATAACACCAAACATTTCATTTTGCCTATTACTGTCTGTATTTTTTGTTGGAACACATTAATGAGCACCCAACTCATTAGCAATAAACAGTCTTACATTTTGTCTTGCTAACACAGATCAAAGGTACATTTAACTGTCTGTTATTAGGTTTGATATTTTTCAGGTAACAAAGTATTTGAAAAACATCCCACGACACAGGAAACTCCCTGAGAGCGCCCTGATTCTCCTCTTCTCAGTGGCACTGGAACTGCAGCTGAACACATTTTTATGATGTTCTACAAATACGAGATTCTTCCTTGAAAAATTTTATTGGACCTTTGGATATCATCAGGATTGATTTTCAGCTAAGACAGTGAACCATACTGGTTCAAAATAATGCTCTGAGCAATAACTCCTATTTTTCTGAATTGTGAACTTGGGAATGAATCTTTTAAAATTATTCCGTGGCCCAAACTGAAATAAAGTGCTAGCAAACCTGTGTAGGTCCTGTGTTTAGTTACATTACGAAGCATTTGCTCCATGTATTGCTTTTTGAGATTGTTGTTTTATTTGTATCACAGAAAATTAGGTCTTTTAGTGATACAACATTTCATAGAAACCAAGGCCTTGTTGTAGCCTAGGCAAGGTAAACTTGAAGAGCTACCATTTTGCCAGATGGGATATCAGAAAAACAAACGTGTAATCTTTATTCACGTCTTTCCCTGCTCTGTTGCTTTTACTGTGTTGGTACAGTGCTGCAGGAGCTAAAGGCAATAGAAAGTGCTTCTGCAAATCAATAAATATGTAAAGCTGCTAACTATCACAGTAGGGTTAGACTGGCAAGCCTGTCCCGATTGCAAGAACAGGCATCATCGTGGCAGTCATCCATGTGGAACGCTCCCTCGGCAAGAAATGCCCTGCTCAGAGCCCTGCAAAGGAAGAAACCTGCAGTGGTTTAGCTGTTAATTGCTAACACGTAATAAGGAAGAAAAGAAGTCAAACAGCAGATGGAAGGAAGAAGAAATGAGCCTGCGAGATATGCATGAAAAGATCACCAGCAATCTTAGCTTGAATTGTGGGGAGGCTGCAAGAGAAGCTCTTGGTGTTGGCTGAGCTCAGGCTGGGAAATGCTGTGCACAGACTCCTTAGGCAAGAGCTGTGCTGCGTGGTGCCATGGGCTGCAAGCTCCAGCCCGTGTCTGCAGCACAGGAGAGCATCCCTGCACGTGCCCATCGTGCCCACTATCTGCAGGCAGCAAAACAGCCACAAGGAATCTGCCCTGAAGGGCTGCAACCTAGCCTGAGAGGTAGGAAGAGGAACAAAGGACAAACTCATATACTCGAAACTGTCACCTTCCCAAAGTCAACAGTACTGCATACTGCAGGGAGAGGCAGGCCTTGGGTTTGAGGTCTTTGTGCTGCCTTCCATGTTTTACGGAGGTGCTGTTAAAATCTTGTTCCTGAAAAGCCAGCTTGATTTCAAAGATCTTGCTGTTCAGCAAGGGCTGAATAAACAAGAAATGAAGGTCAGGTGGCAAGAAATGCCAGAAAAGGAAGGGTAAAAGCAGACAGGACATGAGGAGGTGCAGCAAATGAGCCCACACAAACGCTCTTCCTTTTGCACTTGGGTATTTAAAGTAGTCATGGTTTCACATCGAGGGAAGACAAGAGCTGTGCTTCAGGGATGATGCTAAATAGAAAACATGCGCGGCCATCACCTTTGCATGGTGTTTCCAAACCTGGCACCCCGTGGCATCCTGGTAAGCATGGAATATTCCAGTATTAATTCCATAGCCCGTGGTGAGTGGGCACCACTCCAGCCATCCACACCAAGACGAGTGCGGAGCTGTGTGGAGCATTTCCTTTGTGTAAATGAGAGGGATGTTATCACAGCGCTAAAGGTCCCGCTTTAAAAAAAGCCTCCCATGGTATTATGCACAAAACAACCTAACCTATTTATGCAGCACAGAAATATTTATGTGCTTCACGCCTGCTTAAAAAGGGAATTTGCAATAGATGAAGGACATGAGGAAGGATTGGAGCGAGAGATAAGGGGAGATGAGAAAAGGCAGATCATGAAGTACATGACGCCCCTGCAGCAGCATGTGGCGTAACCCCCATGCTTTTTAAAGACCTGAGCCTTGAGTACCATGTCTGGATCACTCATACACTTCCCATAGACCTAATTTTCTTAGCTGGGGCGCTGCATACAAAGCTGCAGGTGATGCAAGTGCCAGGGCAAGCAGTGCTGAAGCACAAGCAGCCTTTGCTGCTGAAGCTGCCGCCTCCAAGCACAGTCCCCTGCTCCTGTGCAGGGCCCGGATCACCGGTCACACCATCGTGCTACAGTAATTGGAGAAAATCCCAACTTTCTACAGTTCAGACCTTCTGAAGTTTGTTTTTTGGAGGCATGCAGTTCCTGCTAGAGGGATGCCATGCTGTGCCTGTGCACCACTTTTTCGTTAGCAGAACAGCTGTGTTGCAGTCGCCTTGCTCCTCATCGACTCCTGGAGGACCCGTCTGCACAGGGACTGTGGATAAGGAGCTGCTACTCCCATGGAGCTTGGGCTAGAGGTAGACATGGGCTAAGGATGGAGCTCCTGGCCAGGCCAGGACATGGGGCTCCTCACATCCCCCCTGCTTGGTGGGACCACTGGGGATGAAAACACGTGCATGTAGCATGTGCTCTCGTTGCTACCTGTAAAACAGTAAAAATCACAGTGCTGCAGCACCCAGGGAGCCACTGAAAAGCTTTTTAACCCCAATACCCACGCAGTGACAGCCATGAAGGTGCCTAAAGCATTTCTTTCTCAGCTCCCTGTGCCCTCCTATCCACTCCCTATCTTTAGCTGTCACCTCAGCCGAGGGCTGTCAAAACTCCTGGTCCGATGGCTGCATCTGCTTCCCGGCGCACGATCCAGCGGCTCTGTGAAGGAGAAGCCGCTCGTGTAGGCTGTCCTGAGTGCTGGCGGTGCTGAGTTTCCGAATGGAATGATGTATTTCAGCTCTTGTGCGATTTCTGAATAATCAGCTCATCAAAAAATATCATGCCGAGTTCCCTTGTAGTCCTCTCCAACTTGCCACCTCTCCTGCCAATAGCTCCATGGGGTGACCACAGCTTGGCAGAGCCCATTAGCAGAGCTCTGCACAATCATCCTGAATAGAGCTGGCTGCAAAATACCATTTCTCTTCCTGGAAAGAAGAAAGAAAGAGAAAATAATAATAATAAAAGATATGATGGGGCAGGGGAGCTTTTAGGCTTTGCATTTCAGGATGAAGATTTTTCCCCACTGCTTACTCCATTACTCTCTTCTGCTTTTTCTCCCTTTCCTCGCCTATCAGATTTTTTTTTAGAGGCTGATGCCCGAAAGAAAAAAAGGAGGAAATCACACATGGTGAAGTCGTGGCACGTCAAGATCTGCAGGCTGTCAAGTCCATAAGTAGCTCCTCGGTGCACACAGTTTTAGGTGATTTCACTGGAGGTGCAGCATGAAGCTGCGGTGACCTTTTCAGAGTGGGACTCCTGGGCAAGATGCCCTTGGACCTTCACTCTGCTCTGTCTTTGCCCACTGTCTTGTGAGGAATTTCTGCAATTTATTCCCCCTGGGGTGGCTCAAAAACACAAGAACCTGGTTAGGAGCCTAGAAGCCAGCAAATATAAGACTGGCCACCTGGGCTACCCACTAGGAAGGTGCCGGGGGATTTCAGAGCCGTGTGGCCAGAGCTTTGGGGGGTCCAGGAGCTGCAGCCCGAGGGCTCTCCTGGCTCCAAGGTCAGTGTGAGCGGCCGTGCAGCCTGGTCTCCGGAGCTGCTGCTCCATCCCTGGCTTTGCAGAACCCCGACCTGCCCAGCGTTGCCCCTGGCCTCCTTTCTTATGTCACCCCATCTCTTTCTGCTCAGGCTTTTGTCATTTTTTGTCACCATAGTGACAAAAAGAGGGATGATTGCTAGAGTAATTTCCCATATTAGCTGGCATTGGCCTTTCAGCCTAAATCAGCGCCTCGCTTCCCAGGGCTGGCTGAGGCACAGCACAAGGGGCTCAGCACAGAGAAATAGGGGGGAAATCCACTTTTCGGAGGTTCCTCTTTGGGTGTGTTTGCACCAAGTCTCATGGTCTCCAAAAACAGCAACAGGAGCACTTCGGTCTTTGCAGATTTGCATTTTTGTAGGTTTTTTTATGTTTGTTTGGTACATTTCAAGAAGCCACACACATGCAAATGCATACTTAAAAAGCAGAAGTGTTAAGTACTCAAAGAGGTCTAAATGACAAACAGGCTATTGAAAAGCGGGAAAAGGTCACCAAATGGGAGAGGGAAGCTGCTCTTCTGTTCCCAGTGCAGGCAGCCCAGTCCTCGCCACAGAGGAGTATATATTAAGAAGAATCAACCTTCATTTCAAGTGTGCTGCCTTTTGTCCTCATATCACAACATTAACATTATCCCCACATAATTTTGTGTATTTAATTTTACAACAGACGGTGCCAGCAAGCACTGCCTGTAAATATTTGATCACCACTGCTCCTCTAGGATTATCTTATCAAGAGTAAAGATATTAAAATAGAACTCTTGTCATGTTGCTGCCTTTATACTCATAGCCTGAGAGTTGATTGACAGAAAATGAACTGCCTGAACTAGCTCTAAAGTGTCTTTTTACTGAGTGCTTTAATGCCAGGGGCTATAGAAAAAAAAAGGTGGCTAGTCATTGGAAACTAATGCCTTGCTGCAGTTGCAAGGCTTTTGTACTGAAGATTAAAAATATGAATCTGCTAGGGGTATTTTACAAGTGTAAAATGGTGTTAGTCTTTTTTTGTATCTTTTTGCTATCTCTAATGAGCATTTAAAAGAAGTGGCCCTTTCCCTCCTGCACTGGAACAGCCCCTGCAGCCGCAGCAGCAGCTCAGAGATATGGGCAGAAGTTTTGCAGGAATAAGCTCTTGATTCAACTATCCTGCAAATTTTCTTTTTGGTGATAAAATGGATCACAAGTCAGGACTGAATGTTCCTGCCTAGCTTGGAAATCAAACCGCTGTAGACAAGTCAAGGTTTCTATTTGTGGCCAGTTAAAGGCACGCTGGTAACGCTGTTTTAATGTTAGAAAATTGCTCCGTAATTGTCATGTGTCCAAGGAGCCCCGTGCTCCAGATCTGCAGCCATTCCCCGGGGCTGCACGGATCATTGAGAGGTTTTGCTGGAATAAGGGCCCTAACACCAATCCAGGAAGGAAAAAGAGTAGAAGAAAACTTGAAACACTAGCTCGAGCTTGTCAGAAATCAGAAAAGAAGTAAGGGCTTAAGTGCCTTTCTGATTTTTAACTTTTAAAACCTTTGGAAACCAAGATTGGAGAGGGTTTGGCAGCTGCAACCCACTGGTGCGGTGGGAAGGAGGGAGTTAAAATCCCCACATCTGTCTTTGAACCTGTCTGCCAATGCAGAAAAGCCCCAGCAAGGCAGAGGAGTGCAAAGCAAAGAGAGGAGCTGAAGGAAGGAAAAAGTAATTCCCTGATCTAGCTGCTCTAATGATGCGCACCAAGCAGACGGACATCGGGAGCGATGGTCGGTGCTCCTAAGGCTGATAGGGAAATGGAGATAGAGCAGAGAATAAGACTCTGAATAAAGGAATGCTTAGAATAAAACTAACTTAGTTGGAATAAAACTGAGGTGTTAGTTTTCATTGAGAGAAAGAAGGGGGCAGATATTTATATTAGAAATCAGACATGAGGGGAGATGGGTGTCAGAGGAGAGCTGTAGCAGTAAAATCTCTGTGGTCCCGTTTGCCTGGTGGCTGCTGAGCAAGGAGTGACACCACCAGCATCAGAAGATCTCCAGGCAGGAACATTGCCTTAGACCAGTGGATGCACCCTCCTAGATCCTGAAATCCAGCATTTCCCTGGAGAACTCCAAAACCTCCACAAGGAGGTACCCCTTGAGGCTGGGGGGGAGCCATGCACGTGGTTAGTGTCTGCTCATCAACACACCTGGGGCTGCTCAGCTTTATCTTAGCTTTGAACAGCTAAAGACATCCAGCAGGTTGCCTCCAAGGTTAGATCTGGGCAGAACGTCTGGCATCTGAGTCCTTTTATGTCAAGTGACCTGATCCTTCTTGGGGCGTTGTGTTTTTCTCATCATCAGGTACATCAGCACAAAGATCCCAGGAGCACGAGGCAAACAGAAGCTACAAAGAGTGACCAAAAAGAAAAGTCACAGGGAGAAAATCAGCATGCCACCTTCACTCAACTGCACACAGGTGGAAACTGCTTTAACTCTGCACAGATATTAGGGCTGTGGACACTAAACAGACAGTTTCTAGACAAATCCAGGACATGAGGCATCCCTTGCTACCCCTCCAGCTCCTCTGACAAGGCCCCAGAGCTGGTGGGTACTTGGCTCTGGATTTATCCCATGCACTGGATTTACCTGCTGCCTTTGCAGTGAGTTTTGCAGTCAGTGAGACCAGAGAGGAAAAATGTAGAGCTGCAGGAGAGGGAGCAGTGTGTGGATTTGTGTGTGTGCATGTTGTCTCCTATATGATAAGCTTCAGCACACGGTGCATCTCAGGTCTGCTGAGTCTCCATGAAGATGGATGCCTGAAAAGGCTGAGATAGGCGGCAGAGTGGAAAAAAGGTTGCCCAACCTTGAAGCAAAGAGTTCCAAAATAAATAAGCATGGATCTAGCATGGACCAACCTCCTTAAAAAAGGAAATCGCATCTTTGCCCTGCACTGTGGCATGATGAGAAAAAGAAGCAAATTGAAACGACGAGGCACAAGTTCAAATCATGATTATTACTGGCATTTAGCTGCGTTTTGTTGGAAATATGAGTCTATGAGGGCAGCACAATGCATATATATATATGTTTATATGCAACCACACGTATGTACACGTATGTTTGTGTGTTTGTATGAATGAATGAATAAACAAGTAGAAACACAGATACAGTCTGACAGTGTTTTAATCCCAGCTCTTGGTTAGGCCTGAGGTAAAGCAGCGACAGCTCAAAAATAATTTGGCAGGCTTGTAATGAAGATGCTGTTCCCCAAGAGCTTTCATTTAAGCAGACCTCTTTTAATAACGCTTGTTTATTGCCTGGCAGATAGGAACTTGAAAAGAGGCAGCTAATATCCTGAAAAGACGCTCGACAGCTGAATATATACCTAGAGATGGGTGTGGGTGTGTATGCATAAAATAGATGGGTGTTCATGTAAATGTGCGTGTTTGTGATGGAGAGATGCACGTGCCCACATGCTCCTGCGCCTCTCTAGGGACACCAGGAAAATCAGCCGCTCGGAGGGGGATTTCAGAGGCAAGGCCGGCACAAACGCTCAGCATGAACAGCCATCAGTCCCCCGCAGATGCCGAAACTTCAGCCCATTCTTATGCCAACTCTCACTGCTGGTTGGACTCCCTGTGTTGGGACCAAGAGCAGGGCATCTCTTCAAGCTACTTCCCCCTTGCTTAATGAGATCCTTTGCTCCTGGCCCACGTCACCTTCAGAGTGCAGTCGTAAGCCATCCCATCTCACCAAGAGGGAAAAGTTCAGTAACATCCAAGCTAACAGGCTCCTCCTGGTTCCTACGGCTTGGGCTCTCCAGAGGTCCCTCCCAACCTCTGCTATGCTGTGATACCAGGCTGAGCTTCACCTTCAAGAGCACTTTGGAGAAAAGCCCTACCCTGATGCTGAAGTTGAGGCCAAGCACTTGACTTTGTCACTCCGTGTGACACATCCCTTCTTTGCACTGACGTGAGCAAAGCCCTTGTGTTTGGTTCATACCACAGCGGCTCACAGCCACTTTTGCCATTGCCCCAAATCCTCCACAATGCAGCAGAGCCAAAACCAGACTCAAATTTTGTTCATGTTTTCACATGGGAAGAAGAGGAAAACAGCTCCAGAAGAGCAGTGTTTTCCCTATCGAGCTCAGCGCTCCACAGGCAGAAACAGAGGATGTTTCTGCAGCCATTCCACAATAAGCAAAGGACATCTTGCTGCATCCCCCTTTCCCTGATTTCCATTGGGAAATGGCTCTGTTGAACCTCTCCTACAGTTGGCATGTGTTTGCCGGGCTGCCCTTCGCACGTCTGCAGCGCTGCGGTACAGCCCCACTTGCCAGCTCAGGAGAGGAATCATTAACGCACATATGCCAGGTGAAATTAAAATCTTCCCTATGAGTTACTCACTGACATAAGGTAGCACAGTGTATATTACAGCCTATTAATTGCCATTTAATTAATTATTTTCCTTGCCTACAAACACAGAGCACTACTGCAGAATACAAAGCCAATTATGAGCTGAGGCACTTCAAGCTATCACAACTTTTGGAGTTAGAAAAGCTGCATATTTGTTACAAGCAGCATGACAAATCTGTCGCTGTTAGAGCCAGCCTATCAAGACCGGAAAAATCCTGAAGAAACTGCAATAGGTCAACAATTTGCCAGCAATATCAGCTGAATCAGGCGCCAGAGGTTTTGTCTCACTGGAATATTACTTATTAGGTGCCGGAGGAGCCCTGCCTCAGCAAAAAGGCACCCGCACGCCACCAGCAGTGGGTCATGCTTCACTGGTATCCCCTCACCCAGACTTAACTCTTGCCTTCGTTATGGAGATGTTTTCCGGAGCACTGGGAGGCTCAGTCCCCAAACAAGAAACTTTGGAAAAGTTCATTCGCTTCTTCCGGAGCTCCCACAGCTGCATCCCAGCTCTCGGCAATAGGGAATTATGTCCTCCTGGTTCGTGCTGTGAAAATTCACTCTTTCCTCATCCCTGTCCCCAAAGCAAGAGCTCCTGCATGGTAAAGACTGGAGTCCAAGCATCTGGGGATGGGCAGACTGGCCTTCTCCTCTGAGCCCATCACCAGCCTCGGGCCTGGCCTGGTCCTGCTCTGTAGAGACACACATTATGGAAGGAAATTAGAAGAAAAAGGCAGCTGCATGTGCAAACTGATTACATTTCTACATTTGTTTAAAACCGTAACTGTGATTTTTAATTATGGTGGATCAAAGGAAAATAACCACAGTAATCCAGTGTAATCACGTGTGAGCTGATTTGATAACAACATGGTATTTAATTGGCAGTAAGCTCAAGCAATGTAAAGTACAAATGAAAAGCACTGACATATTTGGAAGACTAATCTGAGAGACTGTGAGCAAACGCGTTGTTTATTACTGCTAATTTCCAGTAGCTAGTTCAACACCATTTTGTTACCATGATCCCCAGTGCAACGTCCATCAGTGCATGGTATTTAAAAGGAAAATTAAACATGATTTACTTTAAGGGGGAACAAAAGAATTTCAAGATAATTAAATTACACATTTCAAATACCAACCTGCAGATAAAGCGCTTCAAAATACAGGATTTTTCTCTTTCTGACTCTTAAGTCCCCTTGATATGTGCACATAATTCACATTAATGTGCTGCATCAGTGATGGAAAGCACTTTTCCTGCACATTTTAATGTTGTTAACAAATAGCAATTTTTTTCTGACACAACTCCCAATGAAGTAAACAGAGAGATCACCCGCAGGACCCTGCCAAAGGCCAATAAGTCACTGGAAGAATTTTCTTTGGCTCCAGTGGGCTTTCAGTCACATCCCAATGATGAATCCCTCCAAGATGAGGGCCTGTTATCTTCTTTTTTTTTTCTCATGCCTAGCAGAAATGAAGTACTTTTATTCACATAAAGTCTTTTAAATACAATGTTATGAAAGTTTGCTAAAGCTTCCCAGAGAGTCATGTGAATTAAAAGTCGCCAGCTTGACTGAACTACCTTCCTAAGTTGGTTATGGTCTGCAATGGCATGCATTTGTCATACCTTGTTACAGCCCTGGTCAATAGAATAATGCAATAATCCATCAACTGTATTTTAATGCGAGACATAATAAATACAGTGCTTAGTAGTTGCTTGGGCCTCCACCAAGGAAGAGTTGCACAATTACAGTGGCTGTCAATTGTAAACTGCCTGTGATAAGTATGCAAACATTGACCCCAAGTGTTACACTGTAATCATGGAAATTAAAATCATCTATCTTACTTGATTCAGAGCCTTCCAGATAACAAGAATGGTATTTAAGGAAAACCTTGGCTGGACTCAGATTGCTTTTTTTTTTTTTTTTTCTGTGAGATTAAAATTAAATTAAGTCAAAATTTAGAAAATGGTGCTTTAATTAAAGTTACTTCACTAGCTCATAAATTATACCTCCTCTTTCCTGCTGGGACATATGGTATGATACTAGGTGTCAGAGATGCAGAAGTTTCCTAAAGGTTAGTTCACATTTATGTGCTTTTTAAAGCTGAGCTCTGGAAATGAATCACTAATTACTGAAGTTACCAAATTGCTACCTTAGTTTGCTTAGCGAATGCACTCTCCCTGACTTCAGCAAAAGAAGGGTTTTCTCAGTGGCTTGGTCCAAGTATGCAAAGACAGTCGGAAAAGACCTTGGCCAAAAGCAGATCCTGGCATAGACTCAAGCATGAAAATATTAATAGATAATCATCCAGAAACTAATTATGCAGTGTAAAAGTCAAGCCATCTTATAGAGACCACTGCAATGAACGGTATTTTAGCTTCATTAGCACAGCAGCAGAAAGAGCACCCTTGCAAAGTAGGCTTTTCTGAACTTCTAATTCCCTTACCAACATATAGCTGCTAGCTGCAGTCATTCAAATTAGAGTAAAAACAAAGAAATTTTTAGCAATAAAGGTGAGAATTCGTTGAAGCAAACGGAAAGAAGAAAAACAGCACAGAGCTATTCTGTTTCCTCACGGCCTGGCTGCGTTCCTGGGAGCACGTGGGAGTCCTGTGCATGGTACTGGGATCACCTGAAGAAGAAGAGGCCAAATTGAAGCAGCTGATGATGCCAAAGCAGAGATGGTTCCTGGAAGGCCTATGGCTTTTTCCCATCACATGCCCCTGTGAATTCAGTTGCTCGTCACTGTGCAGTGACTGTATGTGGAAAGACATGACCAGTAACCTGCTTAAAAACTGCAGGACACTTCTCTGGAGTGAAAATCCCAGCCCTATCCAAGACTAGATGGTGCTATGGGCCTCCTGACAGCAGGAGGCTAAACTCCCACCACATCGGGACCTCCCGGGAAACAGGGACCTTCCCGTGTCCCCAGGGTAGGCACAGGGGTTGGGGACAGCACAACATTTGCATCGTCCTTCGGGCAGACTTGGGCTGAAAGACAGTGTTTGTGCTCTGTAAAGAATATTTTTTTTGTTAGGAGCTTTTTTATTTATTTAAGAGAAGACTGCAGCTCTGCAGAGCTCCTCTGTCCCAGGAAATGTGTTATAAAACTGCAATTTGCCTGTCTTGGCTCCCTCACCCTAGCACTGACCCTCCAGATGAACTCCCATGAATAAGTCTAATCCTGTTTTTCATGTTTCCCTAGGTTAATGAATATTTATGAATCATTTCTCCAGAGCCAAAGCATGGCCCTTACAACCGGCCATGATAGTTCAATTTGTTTTCTTGCCAATTCTTCAAATTGTTTTTTTTTCTTCTTTTCGAAACTCAGAAAAAGAAAAAAAAAAAACTCATTCCCAGTTGGTTCTTATCAAAGTGGTTTTGGGGAACGTTTTGGGGGTTTTTGTTGATTTTTATTTTTATTTTTTACTCAGCCGGTGCTTGGAGACGTTCCAATCGGCTTGAATGATTAATGTGGTGCCACTGACTGGTTTTGTGTTTGTATTAAAAAAAAAAAAAAGCACAATTCATGTTTTCCAAAGAGCCAGTTAGATATCTCTGATTGACCATGCAATGTAAGCTTTAAATTGTTCTTTGTGTGCACAAAATGTACAGCAAAAAAGCAGCATTTCCCCAAAGATGAATGGAACATTCAAGGTTAGAGACACAAGCAAAAAGAAAAAATACTGCCTCTCAGCACACTGTGTATTGGGCTATAATCATTAAAAGGCCAGGTCTTAATACCCTACATTCATTTACGGAGGAAGATTTGTTCTTTTGCCTACTATTTATTTAGCTTGTCTTAATTCAGTTTGAATAGCAGAACAGCTTTCCCAGTTCAGCTGCTCCTCCAAGTCAAGGTCATTCCCCTTAGAGGAGGATCAAGATCTTTTACCGAGGAAAAAGAAAAGTCCCTCCTGCTGCTGCTGCATCTCCAGGCACCATGAGCCAAGGACAGGCGATGCTACAGCTGCCTCACCTTGAGAAAAATACACTTTGAGAAAAAAATACACATTCCTTCAGCGGTATTTGGAAATAAAATAGAGCTGTGAAGAGGGAGAGGATTGGGCAGGGCTCCTATGAGCTCTAGGTCTGGTTGTGAGTCAGAGGAGCGGTGCAGAAATGCTGCTCCATTGACCTGCACTGTGTGCTCCTTCCCAGGTGCGAGTTCAGCCTCTCCAAATGCCTCTCTAATAATTTCTGGAAAGGTTTGGTAGCATTGACCAGTGTGTATTTATTTGCAAACAATAACTGCTTGTGTTTGAATTCATTAGACTAAAGCAGGTCGTTACAGTCGCATCACACAGGAGCAGCTTGGGGAGCATGTGGGAGCCCACGAGCAGCAAGTTTAACTTAGGCAGCAGCCAAATCATATTGCAGGAAAAAGAAATGCACACACAATCAAAAAACAACCTTGCTTTCAGTTTTGTGATTTGATCCTCACATCACAGGGGAAAAGATTAAAAAATGAATAAATAAATAAACAAATAGAAGGAGTTTCTCTAAAGATTGAGAGTGAATGACATTTTTCTCTGGGCATAGCCTGGTGGGGTCAAAATCTGTTGCAAGGGATGAACCTACTCACAGCAGACGAGTGAGGGTGTCCCCATGTTCTCCATGCATATGGTCCTCATGTCCATTCCAGCTCATCACCAGGACTCCAGAACCTTCCAGGACAAAAAGTACAAAAAGTGACCTGGGGAGCTCTGTTACAGTTACGTTCTAGCCAGGCAGGTCATACCCATGGCTGCAGAGCCCACTGTTCCCTGCAGGCTGCAGTTAAATAAAAACACTTTCTTTTTCCTCTCCCCACTGCCAGCTCACCCAGGTTACTGGTTCCCTTCCACAGAGTGCAGGTCTCCTTCACCCATGGTAGCAGGAGGTGCTTGGAGAGGAGACAACACCAACCATGTGGCAGACCTGACCGGCCAGGCAACAGGGCTCACGAGGTCCCTGCCCACTGCTCTGTCACACCATGAGGCACCTCTGGCTGCACCTTTGCTGGACATCTTTGCTATTAAAACAAATAGAATTAGCCCAAGTTGTTCAGGTCCGAGGCATGGTTTTACTAAACAAGCTGGTGACACTTTTCAAATGATTTTTTCACTTTTTTGTGGGGTCGCCCCTGCTGTTGTGCTAGCAACTTCATTTTCCAGCGCGGTGCTCACCTGCGCTCAGCTGCGACCGCCTTCGTGTCAGCTCCCTTCGAGAGAAAAGCCCTTGTTCCAGGAAGGCGTCCAAAGGCAGCGACGTTCCCGTCAATCCCATGGGCTGCCTCCACCACCGCCTTCCTTAGGGGACAATCGCTGCCTGCTGGGACTTTATGCAGAGATTGCTAACACGCTGTGTGGACGCAGACGCAAAGAATGAGCTTTGTAATTTAAATAGCAGCTTGCAGAATTGATGATAGACACAACCACGGTCATTTAGCCAGCTGCAGAAAAGCAGCGAAAGCTCCAGCAGGAGGGAGGAGGAAACGTGCTGCTTGCTTTGAGGACTGGGGACACTTCTGTCACACTCAGGGCACAACATCTACGTGTGCAAAACAGCAGCGCTGCAGCGTCCTCAGAGCAGGAGGGCTTGCACTGTGCCCTGCTCAGAGCAGAGCAGCCTCCTTACGTTTGCTCACTAATGGGACCCTCAGGCCTGGGTTGTCATGGATGGGAGATGCTCCTGGCAAGGGGACTGGAAATTAAGGGGGATTTTGTAAAATGCTAGGGAGGGAAAATTGGGGGTGTGGAGAAAACGAGCGTGGGCAGATCAGGAGCACTGTCCAAAAGAGTGGCATGCCCAGCTGCGGGCTTGCTTGCCGAGCAGGACAAGGGCACTGCAGACAACAAAAACAACACTACATCTATGGAAAATGAAGCTAAATACCTTTTCAGGTGCAGTAGCCCTCCTTAATCTGCTGCATCTCATTTGCCTAGCAAGAAAGGCGCTTTTTGGTTGTTGTTAAAGGATGATAAATATATTTTCTTTTTTGAAAAGAAACAAAGACTCTGACAAGGCCTTTAATCATCAAATCAGTATAAACAACATTATAATACATTAGACTTGGAAATGATAAACCGTGGTTATGCAACAACTAATTAAATTAGTACTGACAGCTTTCAAAGAGAAGGAGGGAAATGCACAGCACATCCCTTACTTTCAGGGGTGATTTTCCCTAGAAGCAGCAGGCAGGGAGGAGCCATAAGAGCTTTTCCGCAGAAAGTGGGAAGCCGTGTGGGAAACACCCTCCCCTGAAATGCAAGCTCTGCTACAATGAACGAGCAAACTCATTTCCTTAGTGGGAGCAGCACCTGGGAAGCTGGGATCAGCAAGCGACAAGTTAAAGTCCTCCTTAAAATGAAATGCAAGAACTATTGCGCTGGAAAAGGCTAATCACAGCCGCTGTGCTGCTGCCACGTGAGAGCTACCGCTCTTCTGGCAAGTGAAGGGAATTTTGCTGCCTGGGAGGATGAAAGCCTCCGCTCAGCCGGGGAACAGCATAAAAATGGTCCATAAACAGCAGTGAGACAAACTGTATTTATCTGTGAGGGGCATGAATACTCTTAGGAGGGGGTCTTATAATAATTTAGGATTGCTATACAACATGCAGGTGCAGCCCCAAATCACCTGCTGCCTTTGGGGAGACCTGGGGACCCCCCTAGTGACCCCAAAGACACATCTAGCAGGTACCTTGCAGTGCACTTGGAGATCTCCTGGGGCTAAGTATGGCATAAATGCCCAGGAGAGCGCTGCCCGCTGCCGCCTTCCATCCCAGGAATATGAGCAACCAGGGAAGCTCCAGCTTCAAGCTCTTCTCTCTTGTCAACTTGTCAGGATGTTCCTTTCTATAAACAAAATCAATTTACATGTTAATAACTCCCCAAACACAATGTGAGTAGGAAGGAGAGGTGGGGGGGGAAGAGGAGAGTGAGGAGAACATGAAGTAGGGAGGAAACATCAGGAGTTTCCATTAGAGATCTTGTCAGAACCGGGAATTTTGAGATTTAATCAATAAGGTCAAAAATAAAACTCTTCCATTAATCTTGCTTGCAGCTCATGGCAGGACCCTCCGGTCACATATCTGCTTTTCATCCTCTCCCAGAGCCTCTTGCAGGTGGCTGTATTTTGCTCCTGACAAAAACCTCCACTGTTGCCTTTCTGCCTCTCCATCAAAGTCAGACCTGCGCCTGCAGCCCGGGAGCTGCCGGCATCGCAGCCGCGCGGTGAGTCAGGGCCCGTGTGCCGGTGGCCTCTGAGCTTTACCTGCCTGTTCTGCAGCCCAGCAAAACCAAGAGCACCCAGGAGCAGCCCAACAAGCCACCTTAGCAGGCAGCAGAGCTGCAGCAGCAAACAATATTTGTCTTTATTTTAATCCCTCTGTACTACCGGTGCCATTCTCCGGCTTGGTCAGTGTGCTTGCCCTGCTATCTTGCTGCCAAGGCTGAAGGAAAAGCAAAAAACAAAGCTACTTTCTTCTAACTCTTGGTGCTTGGTCACATCACATCCTTGCAAAGCTTCCTCATCACCTGTGCGGGAGAGGGAAGATTGCACATCCCTCCTGGCACAGGCAGCCTGCAAGCAGAGGTGACACAGGCAGTGACAATTAATATAAAGCTCTACTTGAGTCCTGAAGGCCCATAGTGGATCAAAATATTCAGAGACATATGGGCAGGGGCTCTACCCTTCTCTCCCACATCCCAGAGCTGGGCTTTGAGACGTCTCCTCTCTGCAGCTCTTCTGCCCAAGCTGTGAGGGGCTGAGGAGCTGCTGGGTTTATGAGCGTGCAAAACTTGTATTTATGAGCGTGCAAAACTTGGAGAGCAGCTGAAGTCAACTCTCTGTCCTTCTCGTATGCATCAGACAAACACACTGATGGCACAATAACAGAGAAATATAACGGGTGCCAGGAAAAGTCCTGCAGCCAGCAAGTCTCTCCTGCATATTTTATCTTCTAATCCACTGCACTAATGCTTAACCACCACACCAAGCAGGTGGAAGTTTGAGGGCCATTGAGCACCGCGAATTTTCCCAATGCATCACAATTACCAAAACACCTGTGCTAAATAACTTTGCGCTGAGCCTCTGTGAAAATTCACGGAGTGCTCAATAGCCCTTGAAATTTCTCATTTCAAACTCGTGGCGGAGCGGCTCCGCGCTCACACATCACGCTGCGGCGTACGGCGCAGGAGGACACCGGTTCAGGACCTCGCAAAGGCCCCTTTCTCCTCACTGGGAAGTTACGTTGTCCTGGGGATTTTTGAGCTGCTCCTGCTTTGTCACTGCAATTAAATTAAAGTCACTTGGAGCCGGGTGAGGTTTATGGGACCGGGCTCCAACCGCAGTGCTGCGATCTCTCCTTTGCTGCTGTCTTAGGACGTTCCTTTCGATCTTTTGGCATCCCAAACTACCTGAATGTGAATCTCTCTGGCCATGACAGGTTGATCCTGAGCTTGGGCTGGACCCTCTGCATCCACCACCTCTCACTGGACCTGCGCTCCAGGCTTGTCCTCAACTGCAGCTGAAGCAGAGCCCTCAGGAGGTCAAACAGGACCCTCACACATACGGACCAGAGCAAGGCTCTCACCTCTGGCATTTTAACCACAGTAGGAGACACAAATAACTGCACAAACCACTGCAGTGTCCCTCTCAAAAATAGGACGTGAACAAACTGGAGGGATTTCAGCAAGCAGAAGCAAGGAGGACATGAGGTTGATGAATCGCCATTACAGCAGGGAGCGAGCTTAATGCATTTAGTCCATCCCTGGGAAGGTTCAGAGGTGACTTGGTGGTGATCAGCAAGAGCCTACACAGTCACAGCAATAATAAGCTGAGACTCTTTAATCTGACAGGCAAAGGCATCTCAAGATCTGAAAACCAAAGACAGATCTCAGAGAAATAAAACATTTCTCAGTGCAGAACACCTAAGGGAATTAATTAACCGCTGCAGCAATTACCTGAGCACACGGCATCTCCTGTGTCACTTTAGCTCTTCAAATGGCATCTCCATGGGACACTCCAGCTCCATGAGGGTCACCAGGAGGAAAACCACTGGCTTGTGCTATGGGTGCTATAGGGCACCTTCTGCAGAGCTGGAGATCTTTGAAAGACAAGTGGTGACAGCAGCCAGCTGCTGCTGCATTGAATATAAATACGGGCAGTATCAAGTGGGCAATAAAATCATGGAGAAATTAGAAGAATTGGGGGGGAAAAAAAGTGCATCTCCTGGGGCATTCCCTGGAGGCTCCTCGGGCAGGCACAGCACCTGCTCACGGCTGCTTTGCCGCTCATAAAGGAGCGTTTCAGGCTGTGTGCACCCACCGTGTCTCTGCTGTGCGGCTTCTCAAGACAACCTATCGCCCGAGCTCAGCTCTCAACGCTGCCTCGTCGCTTACTAGTGGCCATAAAAATGAAATTGAGCTACTATAGACAGCTCCGATACAGAATTACTCTAAGCCTGATATTCAGAGCTGCTTAGCTCAGTGACTTACAGGTTAGTTGCATGTCTACCAAAATCCATCTCAAATCCCTATTTTTTTAAGAGATATTTTAAAAGCATTAGGCTTTTTTTTTTTTTTTTTTTTTGTATTTTAGAAAAAAACATATTTTGGAGCTCTTAACACAAAGAAGAGGTTAGTTTCAATGGTCCCAATTTCAATGTATTTATGTTTAAATAAGATTCGTTTTGGCACATTAGCATAGGAGAACGCAGGCACAAAAGCCTAATTTTCTTGTGTGGTTTTACAGTAATTAATACTCTAGGCACTTCTTATCAGAAAATGACAAATATATCTTTGCAACAATTTAAAGCAAAAAGAAAAAAGCAAAACAGAAAAAAGAAAAAAAAAAGGAACATCAGAAACAAGTGGGTGCTGCACATGCAAGAGAGTGAGGACCACCTCCTCAAAAGGAGCAGAACCTGTTGAATTCAGTGCATGATCTCAAGCTCCCACCAGGGCAATGGTTTGCGAATGTCCCAATGCCACAGCAAGAATCCAGTGTCTCCTTGAATCTGAATTTAAATCCTATGGGATCTCACTGTATGAGCAGGTCAGAGGGCTGCAAGGTGAGGCTGTTCAGCAGACTTTGCTCAAGCACCTAAGTCCCTGAAGCCTCCGTCCCATCCTGTTTTTACTGTTGTCTCGAGGACTCTTTTTTCCACCAAAAACAGAATTTCCAAGCAGGAATTGAAGCCTCCATGTAGTCTCCTAACGTGACCATTATGTGATGCTATTGACCTGCAGGGATGCATGTCCACATCCCAGGGTTACACAGACCCAGAAAACCACACTTGAGAAGCACCAACATGATTCCTTGCACATTCTGGGACAACAGGATTACTTGAGCTCCTTGCTACTCCACAAGTGGTCAAGCACCTGCCTAAGCAGTAAAATAGTTCAAACTTTGCAGAGATTTGGGCATATTTGTTGTTTGAGAATAGCAAAAAGAAAAAACAGCAATAATGACAAAATTAAAACCATTGCTGTACTTGATGTAAAAGATGTTGAGACCTAATTTACTGATCAGGCTTTTTTTCTTTCTTTTTTTTCTTCTTAGCAGCTCTAAATAAGGGTGTTGTCACTAACTAATAAGCAAAGTAATACAGCCAAAGCCCTCTGTAGTGCGTCCAGAAGTCTCATAATTTCCCCATGATTCAAAGAGAAAGAATAGTCAAAGTCCCATTTTAATTACAAAAAAAAAAAAAAAAAAAAAAAAAAAAGATCAGAGTCACTGAGTCAATGTCAATAGAAGTGACCCACAAATGCATGAACTGGAAGGGTTCCTCTGATCTTGATTTTTCTCCAGGAGCCAGAGACCACTCTGAATATCAGCAAAAGGCTGTTTTGTTTTTAATTGGCACCTGATTTCTATTTGGCTGGTTTCTAAATGATTTCCACCTGCCTCCTCACTCCCTTTCTGAGTAGGGGAGCTTTAAAATCTTACACTGAAAGCTCTTGAGCTCTTTGCTCTTTCAAACTTAAGAAATAAATAAATAAAAATCTGCAAACAGTCATGCAGGAAGACAGCCAAGACTGGATCGTGGGTGTTCACATTTAACTATCGCTGTATTTCACTGTGTGCCTGTACATGCCTTGTAAAAAGGCAAATGCCCTTATGCTCCATGTTCCCTGGAAGGAGCAAAGTACACAAGCTCCATTCATAATTAATGGCCCAGCTTTTCCAAAAGCACTAACAACTGCATCTGCTTTGGTCCATGGAGGATTAGGTCCTAAAGTTTTGGCTTCTCTCTGCCTGCAAAATAGCCACCGAAGGCTGCTGGAGCCAGCCTTGGACACCTGGAATCCAGATGCTCCCGGGGCCAGCAGCAAACATCGATGCACTCACCCATTCCAAGGGCACTGCATTTGGCCACCAAACATTTTGATTTCCAAGGTGCTCAGCACTTAGGATGGGTGCTAAGCACCAAAGAGCCCTCAGCACCCTTGTAGAGCCCAATTTTCACATGAGTCCAAGGCCTGGCAGAGCCCAGGGGATGAGCAGACGTGTAGTGCAGCTGGTGCAGAGGCTGCTCATCAGCTCTCAGCAGGACAGCAGTGATGCCCCTGGCAGGTCAGTGGATACTAAAATGCACAGAGAGCCACCTGGAGATGAGCTGATGGGTTTTATCTGCTTGTTATCCTGCACACTGAGCTGTGAGTGTTCCTGCCTTGCTGGGGGCCCTCAAAAGACCTCCACGCACACACTGCTGGCAGCGGACAGGCTCCTCCACCCCACCATGCCCTTCTTGTGGCCTGAGGAGGTTCCTCAGCAAGAGACAGAAAAGCTCAGCCACCCCAGAAGTACTGAGGCCTCATCTCCTCGTGGGCATTATGAGAGCTCCCTGCATCAGGACCTGGCACAGCAACTAGGCAAAGTGCTGGGGCAGGAAGGACGTGACCCAGCCGAGGCCGTTGCACACCAGCTGCCATCACCTCCACAGCTCATCCTCCTCACACAACCCGCTTCCATTTTTCAATCGGGTGGAAGGAAATTCAAAAACAAGGTATATTTGATACCCACCTTAGACGACCTCTCTGCTGCCAGTGACTCCCATCCCAGTGGAGCCCATGGAAGTTCATCAGTCAGATCATCTCCATGGGTGGCAAACTGCCTTCAGGGTGATGTCTTCTGCTGCTCATTGCTGGAGACACTAAAGGCTTAGGACAGATGCTAGTGAAAAAGCAAGTAAAGTAAAAGAATCAAAGTAGCATGGTGAAATGTGCCCTGGGACTCAGCTCTACATTACAACATGATTTTTTCTCCACAATGCTTATTGCAAGTTTTACTTGGCAGATTTTCACCTTTCACATGAAGGCACCCCAGCAGCAGGGCCGTTCATCAGTACATCAACCCACACTTCTTTGATTATAGCTAAGCATTTTGCAGAGGAGAGACCCCTAAAAATAAGACCCCTAAAAATAATATCCATCACATTCGATGCTGGGCTTCTTTTTGGACACATTCAGGGCATGTATAGAGAACTCTGGCCCAAAGAAAACCAGCATTTATGAGATTTAACCTGGACTACAAAATGGTCTTTCGTTCTGTGCTTTCACTTGACATTTGATAAGGGGGGGAATACAGAGCATTTGGGGGAGAAAAAAATAATTTAAAGGTCTGGTTTACATTTTTGTTGATTTTCTGCTCTTACCTTATGCAGCTCCCTTACACTTAAGGGGAGGCAACTGGCTGTTGCAAGTACACATAAATTCCACGGAGGCAACAGAGGAGGACATCGCTCTTAAGAAGTCCTCAACCTTTGAGGTCAATTAATTGAGATGCTGTAAAGTCCTGTTTTTCCTCTCGCTTTGCATGGCTCTTCCTTGCTTTGGAGTCACCCATGAAAACCTCTGCAGGAATGACATGGAGGGAACAAAGCTGGATAAATAGAGTATTTGCCTAGCTGACAGAAAACAGGAGGGAAAACACGCAGCACAGCCAAGTCAAATATCAATCTACTTTTGTGTGCTTTGTTTCATTAAGTTTACTTTATGATTCATTTGTAACAAACCGCGGTGGATAATGAGCACTTGCATCGCAAACCTCTGTGTGTTTAAAAAGCCAACCTTGTCACGCAAGGAAGGAATGGATAACAAAAACAGAGCCCTTTTCGTTTGCAGAAGTGCTTGGTGGTCTAAGCATGACTGAATCTCTCTCCAGTGGCTCTGACTTGATAGACTCAGCAAGGAGGCTGTCACGTCACTGCCAAATGACTTGAGGTCTGCGGAGACAGCCCAGCCCATCACATTCAGCTCTGCCAAGATGACCTGAAAGCGCTTCTCTGAGAACCCTGTGCTTCCTCCCCACCGAAGGGCCCAGGAGATGGCTGCACATGGCTGGGCTGCATGCAGCCGACAGCATTCCCGCAGCACACAAATGGCTGAGGTTGCACAAGTCTAAATGTTCAGCGCTTCAGTCTTGGTGATGGACCAAGGACCGGGTTTAATAACCTTGCAACAACAGCTCAAATTCTCTGGGCCTTAGAAACATGTGAAATACATCTCCTGTGCCAATCTGCTCACATTTCACACTGGGCACCTCAGGTGGGCAGAGCGGGTGCTATCACACTAAACCTAAACAGAAGTTGTAGATGAGCTCATCTCATGAGCAACATTTAGCCCCTTTTATAAAGACATTCCCACATTTTTCCTGTTTACTCTATTTTCTTTGTATTTTATTTGTAACTGGTTGTACATTAGACTTCCTAAAGTTTCTCAGCACATATATGTGCTAATCCCTGGATGAGCAAAGCAAGTTGTCCTCCCTTGCCTTCAGCCAGGATCACGGGAGAACCAAGCAAGACCTGGAGCATTTGTACCTTAAACCTTTGACGACTGCTCTGCTCACGGGAGTCACTTTAGTAGCAATAAGCACTGTGCTGAAGAGGCCATCTCCATACAGAAGGCAGCTGGAAATGAGCTGATGAAACAGGAGGAAAACACCCAGGACTGAATCCTAGATGAGCTGCAGGTGTTAGGATAATTATAAGAGTTTGGCAGATGGTGGGAATGGCACACATTCCTAAAAAGACAGCACACGCTTTTATACTTTTACTGCACATCTGTGCCTCACTGTCTTGGGCCCACCTTGTGCATGCTGAAAGCAAGGCATCGAGAGGCAAAGCCTCTGGGTGATGATCCAGACCATCAGTGAGGAGATCTATGAGATCACAACATGCTTGACTCACTTACAGCTGCTGCTTGATGAGAGTGGAAACGCGTTACATAGTGAGAGGTGACTCCAAGGGCTGTTTCACAGCTCTACGGTCTTTTTGGAGCCAGGCATAACCCTATGAGCCCTATGATGGGGCCAGTTCCAGCACCGTGGAGACCTTTGGCTCTTTTGCTTGGTGAATTATGTGTAGCCATTTAAGAGATCATGGCCTATATTGCATGCCTGAGGCATGTGAAATAGCCAGCAGGAGAGGTTCCACTTCCTCCAACTTCTTCCTCAAAATCACTTTTTTTTTTAAATAATGTATTTCTATTTTCTAACACTTCTGAACTTGCAAGAACTTCACTGTGAGAATATAGATTCTCTTCCAGTGTAAGATACTGGCAGTAGTGACATTTATTACCATTTGCCTTTCCCCACCTCTGATGAAGCAGAATCCTCCAGTGGAACAACAACAACAACAACAACAACAAAACCCCATGCACATCTACCAGCTTTTACTTTTCTCTGCATCCCGTTAGTGCACATTACAGTTTCCTGCTCATTAATCCTGCAAAGGAGCATTTACAATGCATTTAAAATGCTTTTCCTCCTTTACTAGCTCCCTGCGGTGCAGTCCAGTTTCTGATCTGAAGAGCAATCAATAAATAAGTCCATGTGTCCGCTGGGGCTTCCTGGCTGCCCAATTAGAATAGCAACCCTCAACATGCTGTTTTATTAAACGCCAGCAGCATTCAGCTTTGGCACAGCTCTCGGCACCAAACGCTGGTTTTAGATGCTTGTGTTTGAGTAACAAAGTGGCATCGGCCTGGAAAGTCAGCAGGGCTGCTCTCTGCCAAGCTACATACAAATGTACTCGTGGAGGACTGGAGTTTCCATCGCATGGTGCCCACGCCAACGGGTTGTGTGGGGGCTGATGGCTGTGTCATCGTTTTAATTGCTTGAAACAGTGAATGGGCGGGTTTCTGGCTTGTCAAGGATACTGAGCAGAAAAGAGACATTATTAATCTCTCCAAAGCCTGGCTGGTGAGCAGGTCTTTAAAACGGTTGAACAGTGAACAAAACACACACAGTAAGCAAGCAGCCTGCCCCAGTGGAGGACAGGAGGGACCATGACTCAAAGGGACAATGCTGCAGGTCACCGAGATGTCTGCAGACTGATAAACAGGATTAAAAAGCTTGGGGAGAGGGAGAATAAACAGAAGGAGCTGCACTGGGTCATGCAGTTTTCAGAAACAGAGGGAATGGGATATACTTCTTTGGGGCCCCATGAAGGACCCTGAAATGGCAACACTAGCAATTCATAAATAATCATCTTTATCTAGTGTCTGGTCTACAGAAGACAACGGGCATCCAATGGTGCTACTTGTGAAGAGAGCTGCTTATCAGGCTTGGACCAGACCTGAAGAGCCTTTTGAGAAAGCAAGGAGCAGGTAGGTGAGCTCTGCCTGCCCACCTGCCTCTCAGCAGCAACAAGGATTAGCACAGTCTGGCAGATCCGCACTGAAGAGAACAGAAGTTGGTAGGAAAGCGGCGTGAAGGAAAGAGCCACGTTGCAGGTAAGTGAGAAGGGGAATCTCATCTCACTGCAGATTCTGAAGTATCAATATGCACTCAAAATGAAAACCAAACTAAATTGTCAGAAAGGTGAACAGGTAAGGGGCTGCAAAGCTGGGAATGGTAACAGCACTCACTCAACCAGGATTTCTTCTGCTGTGATCCTCAGCTCCTTCAGGTTATTGACCTCCCATCAGCTCTGCACAGGCAGCTTTGCCTTCTGCAAGCAGTGCATTTTCATGAAAAACGCAATTTAGTCCACAGTGTTCCTTATCAACACTATGGAAGGGATTAGCTCTGAAGAAACCAAGTTTACCCAACACTTACCCTGTCAAAGAAGGGAACAGGAGTCCCTGAAAGACAGCGATGTCCTCATTTTCTAGGCATGCTCCATTTCAAGGTCTGCCATAACATCACCATCGTCCCTGTCTTTATTATGTTCCTGCAAATTTTAGTCAGCAGTTCAGCCAGGATTTGAACTGAGGTTTGACTTGTTGCACTTTCACTGCCAGGCTCCAAGCTGCTCTCCTTCTCCCCTTATCTATTACAAAAAAAAAAAAAAAAAAAAAAAAAAAAAAAAAAAAAAAAGTCATATGGCACAAAAATCACAATTGGAAAATTCTAGTGCCCAGATATGGGGAATTGGGGAGCAATATCCTAGCACAACTGTGCACAGCTTCAGCAAGGCTCTATACAGCCACTTGCTGCCAATAGTTGGCTATTCAGCAGTGCAGAGTTCAGACCAGAACCCAGATGGAAGCATAATGCACAGCCAGGCCCTCCCAGAGCTGCACGGTGCCATTTGTAGATAGCATTAAATCCTCCTTATCCACAGAAGTACACAAGAAACAGATTTAAAAATAAAGGTCACCACTCAGCGTTATCCTAGGTCAGCCTCCTCGGGGAGCGCAGCACAGATCATTAGAGACCTTGCTTGGCCTTCTCTCACCTCCCAGCTCTATGAGCAGCCCAGCTGACCTGCTATTACCCGGTGGGTTAGCACAAACACAAGATTCTCATCATCCTCAGCAAAGGCACTGCAGCTCACCAAGCCTCCCCAAAAGCATAAGTCCGGAGATTCCAATATTCCTGCTTCCTCAAAGCAGCAGTTATTCTGTAAGTCCATAAAACAGCACTCTTTGAGCTATGTGGTCTCTACAATAAATAACCAGCCCTAACCAGCTGCCAGCTTAACATTAGCCAAAATGTTATATTACTTCTTCAGTCCTATTGCTAAGCACTGACATTAAGAGGAAAGACACAAAAGACTTAAATCTGTGGGAAGTCTTTCAAAAATAACATGTTTTTTTTTCCAGCTGCATTTTGCAGATAACACCCTGGATTTCCAAGTGTTTGACTTACTCTCTTTTGTATCCCTTCCGCAGTGTGCACCCAATGAAAGCAGCATTAGCAAAGCTTCAACATTAGACAGAGCTGCAGATATGTCTGATGGGCAGCTGGAGCATCTTCCAGTGTCAGTCCCTCCTCAGCAGCCACGTCCTCTCCCTTCAAGCACCCCCACAGCTGTCCCTCCCTTAACTAGTTGTGTGCTTCTGCCTGGTCTCATTTTGGATATGGAGCCCGCAGATGACACATGCCATGCTTGATTGGTCTCAATTAGTAATTTGGCTCCTTTTGATGAATGTGGGATATTTTTTTTCCCTGTCACAGTCAGATTGGCAGTTGTAGCCAACTAACAGTCCAAGAAAATGGACACGAAGGAGGTATTAAGCTGAAAGGTGTTCCTGTAGATTGGGGATGTGCTGGAGAACTAGGCAGCTACAGCTAAAACTGCTGTTGTCAGCCCAGGACCTGTCTGCAGAAGAAGGAAAAAGGATCCCAACCTTTTCTAGGATACCCATGTGCTGTAAGGAAGAGCAGCTCCCATTTATATGGGGAGAAATAATTAGACCTTTTCATTATAATCTTAGTGCTCTAAGATTGTTCTCTGCTATATTTGTACTTGAGTCGAGGCTGATGCTCAAGGCCAAATGCTGCTGCCAGGAAGCAACACCTCCCTGGGGATACAGCAGAGCTGTTTGTCAGGATGCTTTCACACCTCCCTCTGAAGCAGCTGGTGCTGCCCACTCCTTAAGAAAGGCTTCC